CTTGTTTATCAATTTTATTAAAATATTCGCAGCATTTTAAGCTTGTAACAACGTTGCCATCATGTAATAAATATATTGTAGAAGAAGAAACCACTCTGCTCTCGCAGATCTCTCCTAACCTTGCATCTTAGACTGGCGAGTCACCAGTGGGCATGGTCAAATTTTCCGTTTTGGAATGGATATGCTTCGGTACCGTCACCGTGGCTTTCGCTGACGTATTTTAAACGTTGCTGCTATGACGGTTAGAGGACAACAGTACGATGATAATTCAAATACGTCGTACATCCTCTGAAGAAGTTTCAGGCGAGGAGGCACTTATTCTAGAAAGTATAATTTTATTGATAATTTATTGAAGAAAACATTTTTTTCGAAAGACAGAATGGTTCATGAACACACACGACGCTAGAAGAATATATCGTTCTTCATGCCAAGTTAAAATGACTTCTATATAGGAAGTGGATCTTACCACAACACGATATACACAGGATAATGCATCGCATTAATTGCTTTTTGCGACACAAATTTTGAGAAGTTGATCGAAAACTTAAAAACATGATACAGGGTCGCACTGCCTGCATAAGCCAAGCTGACGATAAAAGTTCAGTCATCGCAAAACATAGCACCCTTAATAATCGCGTTATCAACTGCAAGTTCAACAAAATACTTATAAAGAATAAACTACAGCAAAACAATGATGAAAGCCATGATAGCGGAACAAACCAACAATTAAATGAACAGACGGGAAGGAAAATACAGGATTAACCAAGTGTAGCTACCTTCACTGCAGTAGCAATTCAGTAACTAATCTTGGATGTTATTTGCCTTTTCCCTTGTGCTATTGCAAAGATGTTAGCCCTGTAAAAAACTTGGTCATCGTCTCTCCCAGCAACGATAAGAAAAAATGGATGAAGAGGGTGGTGATATCTTCCGTGAGACCTAGCCTTTTTCAAACGCTCTATCAGCTCTCTCGTCACTTTCCCTAGCAGAGGTAAAGATGAGGTGAAGAATCTTAGTGGGATATTCAGTCTCGCCTGAATCTGCATTGTTACATGCTGAGTACAACACAAAAGTAAAAAGTTGAAAGATAGCAGACATGCTATATATGGAGACCTGGAGTTGTATTCGAGTTCGCTGAGAAACTGCATAATAGCGTGCGAATACTTTAGGATGATATCACAATAGAATTTGGCTTAAACGTGATACGGTAGAGAACAAAAAAGGCTCTGGAAAAACGACGGCCTGACCCTCCCAAAAAGTAAAATAAACAGCTTAGACGATGGAAAGTCCGACATATCTTGGCGGGCTAAAACTTGTGACAATAAACTACATGAAAAATTTAAATGCCTATAAATACACAATAGGATCAGAGCACCCACCAAATTCGGAAGATCAAGCTGCGTGCGAAAGAGAGAATTGTGGACATTAACCAGTGCGCGATACCCGTTATTACCTACATGACGTACTACCGAATAGACGTCAGGGGAAAAACTAAAAATAGATAGTAAAGCACAAACGATTTTGAACATGTACCAGATGCTACATCCGAAAGAAGACACGGATCAGCTGTCTCCAGCAAGTGAAGAAGAAAAGAGTTCCTTAATACAGATTCCGACAAAACAGACATAATCTCCAAAACAACGTCTGACAAAGGCAGTGAATGACAGAGTACTGACGACTGCAAGGGTTCTCGGCCTGTGCATATTAGGGCAGTAAATAGCTGCAAATGCATAGTACCATCAGAAGAACGGACAGAAAACCGATAGCTCCGCTGAAAGAATAGAGCTTCGTGACCAGTATCGTCCCCAAGGATGAAAACACTGATATCCACCAGACTTCCAACTACATATCAAGATAAGTTCTCCATGGCAAAACGGAAGCCATTCTATTAACCGTTCAAAACCAAGCACTCAACAATCATACAAGCGAAGAACCAGCACATTCAGCCATAATCAAGGTGAAGAATATGACAAGCGAATGAAACTATGCATCATATAATTTTCGGCAGCAAAACACTCACGAACATAAAAAAGAATGAAAGACTCAAGATCGTTGCAAATTTACTGGACTCTCAAGTCACAAATGCCAGTCAAATTGTCAGTGTCAAATAGTAAAAGCATCAATCGAAACCGATATAAGACTGAGCAAGTAAACACTGGCTAGATATGACAATACAAAACGTTAATGAAATTTCGGCTCATTGTCCGTTAACCGTGTTGGTAATCAAAGCGCCACCCAATTTGCTATTTCGTTTGCCGTACCGGGGTGCAACAGCATAGATAGTTACAAATACCTTTGTCCATGCTTTAAACACAAACCATTTTACGTGACCGAAATAATATCAGCCAGGTAGAAAAGCAGCCATTTGACAGGGAATATTTGGATTAATTTCGTATCAGTAAATAAAATTTTTCACAATCTATTCTGAAACGCAATATCTAAAGCGAGACTGTCACTGCTTAGACAGCAACCATTACTCGTTTGTAACATGATACTGGGTTCCCGCACTCTTCCATGATCTACAGAGATATGCAATAATACTAATTCACGCAGTTCCACTTACATTTCTGGGAATTATTCTCGATCTTTATACAGCCTTCATATCAAAGGGTAATATCAGTGCAATCACCAGTTCAATGACATCATTCCAGAGTGATTCATACTCTAGAGCAATTTCAACAGAAACAATGGCGAACAGGCCTCATCTCGCAGTGGTGTGTGCCACATTTTAATGTCGAACTTCAAAGGTGACGCTTACGACTGTAACGGAGGGCAGTCATATTGTTAAATACAAACTTTCCTGAGCAAAAAATCTGCCACATGCTACTTCATACTCAGGATGCACAGATGGTGGAATCAGACTCAGTACCATGGTCGCGGATTCGAGATCTTGTAGAAGTCATTCGGCATTCTTCCTTCGCGCCTTTATAACACCTCCATGGCAAAAAACGGTTGCCTCCACGCTATGCTTACCAAATCCCTGCTGTCAAATCAGACTTTAAAGTGAAGCGTTCATAGCTGATGGCTTGGAAAAGAAGATCACTGCTACATGATTAACTCCATGAAATAGCAACAGGAAACTATGCTATCATACAAGTGTAATAAATAGATGCGTTTCAACGGTTAAAAACTTTCCCTTCTTTCTCGTCTGTATCACTGTCAATAGATCACACTCGTTAATAGGCATAAACTGATTTCATTCATAGAATTTTCAAGGTTCGGATAAACAGCGCTAATGCATCAACAGCCTTAATGCTCAAAAATGAAATTGACAGATTATAAATTTATATGCACATATAAATAGGTGTATATATATATATATGATCGATAGGCTGTAATTGTAGTACCTCAACATCTACAAGAATCAACACCTCTAGCTATCGACGGCTTCACAAGGGCAGCAAGTACGTTAATCTAATCAGTATATCATATAGCCATTCCCTGCCATATTACTTCAATGTCCAAAACTCCTTCTCTGCATACTATTAATGTACTTTCACCTTCTTCACATTTTATTCTTCCCGCGATCTGATGTTTTCCCAAAGATCTACAGATTCTGAAAATTTTCTGCTTCGGCATCGTTCCAGCGCTGTTACCTAAGCAGCTCAAAGGATGCTTGCTGTTAGCTTCGTCAGAGCAGTTCTCAAGGTGGATTTGCAAACCACTCCAAAAAAAAACTCCCAACCTTGCTCGCTTCTGACTGCGAATAATCGCTCCCATCGTACACCTGGATCGCATATTTGCTTCACTAACTTATCAGAAAACACGTATTACAGGCAATAAATGTTATGTAGTCCACTCTCTGGGTTTATTTCTATAATTCTGTTTGATCATGGCTACTGAGCACTTAACAGCAGCAAGATGTTCAGCAGACCACCATTATAAGTAAAACATTGGTTGAAATTTGCACACAGATACAAATAACGCTAACGATATACAAGATTTACGATTTATTTCGATAGTGAGGCTATTTATTATTCATTGTGTTCATCGCTGAGCGCTTTTCAATTAAGCATGGTAATGACATTTAGAACAGCTGATAAGACCATATACATTGCATTCACATACATCAGCTACCACTCAGGCCTAGTTAGATTATCAAATACGATGTGTAAGTTTTGACGATATTTCACTACACTGATA